GGGGACCCGGGAGAGACCTTGGGCGTCCCGGTGGCCTCTAAGCCGTGCCACAGAATGTGGCTCCCAAACCAGCCCAGAGAGAGCCACGAACACCCACGTTCTGAGTCAGTTCCCCTCCCTGGGCCTCTGTTTCCACACCAGCACGTGGCCAGGTTAGACCAGATCGCCATTGCTCAGTGTTTGGACGATGATCCCCTGCATTGGAGTCACAGTGTCAGCTCCCTGTGGACCCAAGTCCCACGGTCCATGGAGTCAGGCTGCCTCATTTTTCACCTGGAAGGGGCGGGGGCTCCCATGCACCCCACATGGTGGGAGGCAAGGGGCTCCGTCTCCCTTTCTCCTGGTTCCCTCTTGTTTGACTTTCTGCTGAGTTCGTGGCTTGCCCAGCCTCGCAGGCCCTTCCTTTGTGGAAGTGGTAATGACCTCCAGGCTTTCCCAAGGTACCTGTTCTGCCCTGCTTCCCCTGGAACAAGTGACTGGTTAGGTGATTTTACATCCATGGAAGCCTTTGATACAGGAAAAAAATGTGGGGTGAGAGGATGGCTGTGCCCCAGGTCTCGGTTGAGTCCCTGGGACTCTCTCTGTCAAATGTGGGTCCTTGGGTTGGTATAAGAAAGAATTCAGGAGCGAGCCCCAGTTGAGTAAAGGTGGATTTACTCAGAGAGACACACACTCGACAGACGGAGTGCAGGCTGTCGTAGAAGGCAGGGATTGTGCGCTCAGTTTACAGTGAAAGTAGATACGCACCCCACAAAGGGCAGGCTCTCTTCCTCCAAAGGGACGGTGGCCACGAGGTGTGGGCACTGTTGGTTTTCGTGGGCTCAGTAACTTTGAATGCTAACAAGTGGGGGGATTATTCCAGCCACTTTGGGGAAGGGGCTGGGATTCCTAGGAGCTGGGCCACCGCCCATTTTTTGGCCATTTATGGTCAGCCTCGGAGCTGTCACGGCGCCTGTGGGAGTGTGTTTACCATGTTAATATATTACAGTGAGCGTGTAATGAGGCTCAAGGCCCACTGGAGGCCAAATCTCCCCATCGTGGGCCTCGAGGCCTGTTGGGGGTTGAATCTCCCTCCATCTTGGTGTGAACTGCTGTGTTCTTCCTTGAAGGGCTGTGCCCTGCCTCCTTCCTTCCTGTCTCACCTTGAAGAGCTCCAGTTGGCAGCTGCAGGATGGCGGCTCGCCCACCCTCCAATTGACACCCCCAGCCCACTTCCCACCCCCATTCCCACCCCCGGCAGGCCGACTGGTTCTCAGGCCCCCTTCCTGAATCCCCGTGACCGGAGGGAGTGCCTTTGAGGGGAGCTGACCAGGGTCCCTCTCCTGTTCCCAGGACAGAGATGCCTTTGGCTCAGGTACTGGTTGAGTTACCCAGCAAAGCAGGGGTAGAGCTGCCCGTGCCTCTGCTCTGTGAGACTGGGGTGGATGGGAGGGAGAATCGTACTGACGAGGAGGTGGGTTCTGTGGTCGAGGGGGTCTCTGGGCTCATGGTAGCCCCTCCAGCAGGCAGGTGGGACATGGGGCTCACTGCTGGCAGGAGTGTGGTGTCCACATCTCGTCTTTGGCTCACTGTGGATGCCAGGGGGCCAGGAAGTCTCCTGGGAGGGACTGAATGGAAGGTTGTTTGCTTTTTCAACGTTGTGCTATGGAAAATTTCAAAGATACAGAAACGCTGAAAGAAAAGGATGGCGAACACCCAGATCCCCACCCCTCAGGTCCTGTCATTAACGTTTGCGTCTGTGTGTCTTATCACTTCTGTGTGTTTTCCTTTGGCTCATTTCTTGCTTTTGGACAGTTTGCTTAACTTTTTAAAGATCGACTTGCTGCCAAAACTATTGAAAGTGAAAATGCAGTTCAGGGAAGACTCCTCAGGGGAACAGGACAAAACCCTTCCCCTTGGAGGGCGGGCTGCTTCACCCCGGCCAGCGCTGGTCTGCAGCTGTGCAGATTGTGGCTTGTGGGCGCTCGGTGGGCGGTGGGCCTTTCCTGGTGGCCCCCGAGAGGCTAATGGTATCTCGCTCAAGACTCTATTCTTAGAATGGGCTCAGTACTCACATGCGACAGCCCTCACTGAAATCATACCAGAAACAGGTCTATTTTCTGGCTCATTTTGGCTGGTTCGGGGTGTGTATGTGTGTGTGTATCAGGTGTCACTGTCCTCCGGCTGCCTGGGTCTGGTTCGGATGCTGGCTGGGGTCTCCACCTCCCAGACCTCTGCCAGGCGGCCCCTTCCTTAAGCTTTCTTTATCAGTGGTCCCAGCCGTGGCCCTACCACCTCATGTCAACAGACCTTCCTGGGTCTCCTGGACTTGGCTCCATATGCATTCTTGCCTCCTCTTTTGCAGATGAGCTGGAGCCCACAGTCCCCTCACCCTCCTAGAAGAAGGCACATTTCCTCATTCCCAAGGTTAACCTTTGCACTTCAGGGGCCCAGAGGCACTGTGTCCCCCACATTTGACCCCTGTTTCTCCAGCATCTTCCATCTCTGTCTTCACTGGGTGCCTTCACTGTCCCTCTTTCCATCAACTTCTCAGTCTCAAAGGCTTGAGACTCGGACCATACTGTTCCTTCCGGACCCTTCATCTCCTGTGGCCACTCAGGAGTTATCTTTGAAAACCGACGGCTGAGCTCAAGCGCCGGTTCTAAGGGGTGAGCAGTGGGATTGTTAAGTCTTCCTAATGCTGCACACATGTCTCTTCCTGTCTTCCCAGTTTCATGTCAACTGCCATCGCCCTTGTTTCTGCATTTGCCCCTCACAACGGAAACCTCAGAGACCATTTTATTCTGTGTTTGGCTGTTCACATATCTCTTACAGCAACATGGATCATTTGCTGTGTCCGTATGAAGTTCCCTGCATGGAGTGAGGCACTTGACCTCCAGGAACTTTTAGAGATGCTTTTGCATCTCTCAACTTTTCCCAGAGAATCAGATTCGGTGCGCTGAGGAGGAACTTGTGAATCTCCGTTCTGTCCTAAGAGAGCATTTTAGATAACACATCCCAGAGTACCTGCCATCAGTAACCCACCCTGTGGCTTTGACTCGCTGCCTTACAGTGTATTTGATTCATGTGCATCTTCATACTTAGTTTGTAAACTCCCGGAAGGAGGAGGTCATGCTTTTACGTTTTTCTTTTGAGAAATGTAAGCTACTACTGGAGGACTGTGTATCCAGAAGGCACTCAATAAATATTTTTAGGTGAGTGGAAAGATGAGTGAGTAAATGAGACTTTTAGGGGGATTTTTTTTTGTTGCCCATATATTAAACCTTTGTGGGGGGCGGATTTTCCACTCAGATCATAAGAGACAATGGTTATAAATAAATGTATTAACGTTTTTCAAGGAATGATCGCTACCCAGTTTAAATGATTGTTTTCTCTTTCAGGGGACTTCCAAGATGGCAAGAGAGTGAGCCTGTCGGTGTATCTCGGGGAATTTTTCGACATCCATCTGCTTGTCAATGGCACTGTGCTGCAGGGGGCCCAAAGGTAAGGTGGAATGAGCCCAGAATGTCCAAATTAGAAGGGGCCCTGGGGATTCCCCTTGGAGTCCCCCTTCGTTTTTCAGATGAAGGAGCAGGGTCCAGAGAGAGGAAGCAGGTGCTCCCAGAGGAAGGGCAGGGCTGGGTGAGAGCCTGGTGTCCCGACTCCTAGACTGGGCCCTCGGCCCCTTTGCACCGTGGTCTGAAGCCTGTAGCATGCATCTGGGTTGAAGGGTAGAGGGACACCCAGGAAATGGATGAGAAGCCCCCTTCCTGAGCTCCCTCTGTCCTTCCAGCGTCTCCATGCCCTATGCCTCCAAAGGGCTGTTTCTGGAGGTCTGAGGCTGGGTATTACAAGCTGTCCAGCGAGGCCTATGGCTTTGTGGCCCGGATTGACGGCGGCGGCAACTTTCAAGTCCTGCTGTCAGACAGATACTTCAACAAGACCTGTGGACTGTGTGGCAACTTTAACATCTTTGCTGAAGATGACTTTCAGACTCAAGAAGGTAAGCTTTTCTGGGACCCCGTTTCCCTGCTCGCAAGCCTTCACTGTCTCTTCTCCTGGGATCCCAGCCTCCCCGGGTCCTCACCGCAGTTTATCCCACCAGCCTTCTCTCTTAGCTTCCTACCTCCTGGCCTAGACCCTCTGTCAAACCAGATCTTGGAGCTCTTCAGACCTGGCTGAGTTCCAGTTTGAATTCCCCATAGCAACTTACACATGGTAGATGGTTGATAAATGCTGAGTGGCTTGAACAGATTCTCCTGAGCCACTGTGATGGAACGTCATGGGTGAAACCTGTAAAGGGTGGTCCTCTGCACTGTCCAAAAAGGCCAGTGTTTTGTGTGTGTGCATGTGTATGCTCACAAGCAATAGAAGGTAATATGGACAATGTGAAAACTGCTAATCTTTATTCTACTGATAATTTCAATTACATAAACATTTAATCAGTGATGCTCCCCTCAAAACCTGAACATTTGTGTGTGCATTCTCCTTCTTTGTGATTAAGGGGTAAGTGTGCGGAGAAGCAGTTGATTATTCCTTTCATTAGACTGGGAAATAGTAAGATCATTTGTTTTGGTCTTCTCCTGCACCAGTTTCTCAAACTTTATTTTTCAGTATGTTCATTTGAGGCTATCAATTTTCCTTAAATGCTGTTTTAGCTGTACCACACCAATTTTCATGTGCAAATATTTTCATTTTCAGTTAATTCTATGAATTCTCAAATTTCCATTTTGAGTTTTTTTTAACCTATTAAATTTGTGTAAAATTTTTAAATATTTAGAATTTTAAGAAGTTATCTTTTGTAGTCAGAGAAAGACAAATACCGTATGATATCTCTTACATGTGGAATCTAAAAATGATACAAATGAACTTATTTACAAAACAGAAACAGATTCACAGAGGTAGAAAACAAACTCATGGTTTTCCCAAAGGGGAAAGGGGTGGGGAGGGATAAATCAGGAGTTTTTGGTTAGCAGGTACAAACCACTATATATAAAATAGATGAACAACAAGGTCCTACTGTGTAGCACAGGGAACTGCATTCAGTATGTTGCAGTGAATGCTACTGGAAAAGAATCTGAAGAAGAATCTCTCTCTGTATGTATATGTATATATATAGAACTGAATCACTTTGCTCTATACCAGAAACTAACACATTATAAATCAACTGTACTTCAATTTCTTAAACATTATCTTTTGTAACTAAATTGATTTCTCATTTAAATGAGAAACCTAGGGGGGTGTTGTCTGTGGTCTCGTACGGGATCTTTCCTGCGGCTATTCTAGATATGCTCCAGCAGAACGCTTTCTAACTGGTGCTGGATTCCGTGTCTTTCTTCGAACTACCTTTGTTAATTGTATTATTCAAGTCTACTGTTTTTTTTTTTTAACCACGTTTTGTCTGCTTCATCCACCTACTGCTATGTAAATAATGCCGCAATGAACGTGGGTATACAAGTATCTTTTCAAGACCCCGCTTTCTATTCTTCTGGGTACACACCCAGGAGTGGAATTGCTGGGTCACATGGCAATTCTTTGAGGAACTGATACACTGTTTTCCATGGTGGCCCTGACATTTACACTCCACTCACAGTGCACAAAGGTTCCAATTTCTCACATCCTCTCCAACACTTGTTATTTTCTGTTTTTTTTTTTAAGTTGCTATCCTAATAAGTGTGAGGTGGTATTCGTATATAGGTTTTTGTGTAGACATATGTTTCATTTTCTCTGGGTGAATATTTAAGAATGGCATTAGTGGGTGGTATGACAAGTATATGTTTAATTTTGTAAGAAGCTGTCAGACTGTCTTCCAAAGTGGCTGTATCATTTGCATTTCTATCAGCAATGTGTGAGTTCCAGTTGCTCTGAATCCTTGCCAACATTTGGAATTGTCACATTACTATTATTATTCATTATTATCACTGATTTTAATGAATGTGTAGTGGAATCTCATTATACCTCACTATTGTTATTTTAGTGTCACCTAATCTTTTTTTGTCTTCTGACTATAAAATTTTGCCTCTTTTCATTTATTTTATATTAAATTGTGTTGTTGATGTATTTGGATGTGTAGTAACTGCCTTATTTTGTACTTTTTACTATTACTGATTTTTCTATGCTACTTCTTTCCCTTCTGCCTTCACTTTCCCCCCACCTTGTTTGAATAACCACTAAATTTGGCATTATTATTGTAATTTTACATTATCAGTGCTTCTTTAGGTGTACCCTCATGTTTACTAGCTTCTTTGCTCATAAATTCTCCTTGTACCTTACTATTTTTTTTGTAGGTTCAGTTTCTATTCTTCTAAAAAACATCCCTTAGTAGTTACTTAACTCAGGGTCTGGTAGTGATAATTGAAACAAACACTTCGTCATTCTTACATGACATTTTAGCTAGGTATAGAATTCTCGGACATCAGTTACTTCTCGCAGTGCTTTGAGGATGCTGTTCCATTACTGCTGTTGAGAAGTATGTTGTCAGTCTAATTGTCGCTTCTTTGCAGATAACGTGTCTTTCAGCTTTGTGTAGAAGTCATCTCATTGCTTTTGATATCCTGAAATTTCACTGTGTTCTTTCTGTGTGTGGGTTTTATTTTTACTATCATGCCTGAAGCTGATGATTCCTACCTTCCAGCAGATGTAGAAAATTTCAGTCATTTTCTCTCTTCTCTTAGACATATGTTGGGTATTTTTAGTCCCCCTTTCCCCCATCTTTTTTACCTTACTTCCGCTTTCCTCTTTATCCCTCCTTGTGGCTTTCTGTGTGATGTGCTCATGCTGGCTGGTGAGAACCAATTGTGTGCATCTTTTCTAGCTCCATGTTCAGGAATGTCATGTTGGTAGCTTGACATTGGCCATGGTGGGGAGATTTACACCATGAAAAATAGCAAATCTTACACATCAGGGCTTATCAGCACATCTCTACTTGGATTTATCTTCCAGTTCACTGATTCTCTCTCAGCTCTGGTAACTGACAGATGATGTCTAATCCACTAGTTGAATTTTCTTTTTTATTTCATTGACTATAGTGGTAATTTTAGAAGGCAAATCTGGCAATTTTTCTACTCTATTTTTTCTTGTTGTCTTGTTCTTTTATCAAGTATCAATTTTTTCTTTATAATAGTAATTTAAAATATATTTGTTTTATAACCTCTGTACAACAACTTTATTATCTGAAGTTTTTAGAGCTCTAATCATGTTATTTTCATTTCTGCTGAGTCTTGCTTGAAGTGAATTGTCTTCTGTGTTTCATAATTTTGCATTGTAAGCTCATCTTTAGAAGGATTTTGTGTTAATTTTTTAGTGTGGAGTGACTCAATTTCACAAGAAGTAAAAATTGGAATCTCAATGCCACATGAAGACTTTCCCAGTACTATAAATTCTCAGAGGAGACTTTCCCCCTCCTATCCAGAGCCCAGACCAAGGGAATAAACTTCCTTATTATTTCCCTGTCTCTCGGAGTGGATTTTTTGGGTCAACTTTCTTAAGGAGAGGATGGTGCTTTAAGAGTCCCAGCTTCACGTAGGGTCTCAAGCTCCTCTCCCTACATCATGCAGACCCACAGCTCATGTCCATCTCCAGGGAGCTGTTAAAACCCAAGCCTGTTGGTTGGCAAAATTGCTCCCCTCACTCTTGACACCCTGTACTCAGAATGCTGAGTCATACTTGCCATTTCTGTTCGTCCACTTTCTTTCCCTTGCTGCTTTCCCTCTCCTCCTGCTTTTTTGTGTCTTGTAATTCCCTCTACTTTGTGTGTGTGTGTGTGTGTGATTAATCATGGATTCAGCAGGATATTTGTCCTTTGCAGTGGCACAGTTTTGAGATTTCCAGAAATGAAAACCCCAGCCCTAAGATGTCTTTCTCTTTCTCCAGGTTTTAAGATTTAAAAAACGAAAAATGGGACCCGTGTTACTAGGGAGAAGTTGGTGTTTGTTGGAAAAAAATTGAGGCTCTGGTGATATTTTGGAAATTATCCTCAGAGGACTGTGGGTTTAGTTCTTTTTGGTTGGTAAAGACTCAACAGTTAACCTTGCTTCCTGGCATCATGGGAGTCTGCCCAGCTGGCCTTTCATGCTGGCTCTCAGAGATTTTTCTGGACACGAGATTATTCGTAATTCCATCCAGTAGACTTTCTTGTGCCTCATTTCGGATGTAGCCTATAGAGTTTCACTTCACAGAGGGTCAGGGATGGAAAGGATCCAAAGGGCATCTGTCTGACCCACCACGTTCCACACAAGGAGCTGGGCTCAGGAGATGGTGGGGTCAGCCCACGGTCACGCAGAGCGATAGAGAGCTGACACCAGACCAGGGGTCGTGCTTCTCTCTTGGGCCTTCCCACCCAGCACAGAGCCTCTTCTCTGCCTCCTCCTTGACATGGCGCTTTAGAAGTGGGCAAGCCAGCGGGGCATGTGGCTCAGAACCCAGAGGTCACCTATCACAATGCCTGGCACACAGCAGAAATTCCACAAATGTAAGTGCCCTTCCCTTTGGCTTCTCCTGTGTGTCAGTTTCCTGCGGCTGCCGGCAAATGACCACAAACTCAGTGGCTTAAAACAACAGAACTGTATTCTCTCACAATTCTAGGAAGCCAGAAGTCTAAAGCCCAGGGGCTGGCAGGGCTGCACTCTCACCGGAGGCCCTGGGGAGAGTCTGTTCCTTGTCTCTTCCAGTTTCTGCTGGCAGTCCTTGACCCCGGGCCACATCCTTGCAGTCTCTGCCTCTGCCTCTGCCTCCTCCATGTGTCTGTCTGGTCTCCCTCTGTCCTCTCTTACACGATGTATGTGATTGCATTTAAGGGGCCACTCAGGTAACCCCAGATGAGCGCTTCCTCTCGTCATCCGTGACTCAATCACATCTTTTGCCCTGTGAGACAATATTCGCAGGTTCTGGGAACTAGGAGGTGAGTATGTCTTTGGGGGACCATTCTGCTGCTTCCCACACCCCAGATGCCAACTCACTATACTTCCAAGGTCCTGCTTTTCCTTTCTTTTTCCAGGGATAGTTTATTTCCCATTTCCAGGTACATCATGTGACCTTGAACTATGCTTCACTCTTCCAGACCTGGCTATGCAAAAGGTCTGCTTGCCTCGCTGCTCCGCTG